TGTACATGTGGTGTTCTGTAATGTGTGATGAATGAAGGGAAATCCGTTCTGCCCCGATTATGTTTCTGTTAGAGTCTTTCAGCTTTCTGATATATGTGCACATGTATGGGGGGAATGGAGGTGGAAATAAGTAATGGACAATGTTGAAAAGAAACAGGAGCTATTTAGGGCAGCATATCCAGTCTGATTTCTTCAATGCCCTGAGAAGTCTGGTAGAAATCAGCAGTGGGACTCAGGAAGTATCTTCTAAGACACTTGCTACTCAACATGCAGTCAAAGAGCTTCTTAGAGATTCTGAATGTCTGACCCCACTTGGGATGTACTAAATCAGAATCCAAATCTTAGTAAGGTTTCCAGGTAATGTGTTGCTTGCTAAAATTTGAGAAGCACTATAGGAAAGGCAAGTTTGGGTTCTGTAATCCTTTCCAGGACAGGGCCTCAATATTTGGGGAAACAAGCTCTGGGTTTTTTTTTTTAAGATTATTTATTTATTTATTTATTTGAGAGAGAGAGAGCGAGAGCGAGAGCGAGAGCACAAGCAGGGGGAGTGGGAGAGGGAGAAGCAGGCTTCCTGCCGAGCAGGGAGCCCGATGTGGGACTCGATCCCAGGACCCTGGGATCATGACCTGAGCCGAAGGCAGACGCTTAACGACTGAGCCACCCAGGCGCCCCTGGCTTTGTTTTTATTAAGGTCTGAAGACTGTCAGAAATGATCAGGCCCTGGGGCTCCTGGGTGGCTCAGTTGGTTAAGCGGCTGCCTTTGGCTCAGGTCAAGATCCTGGAGTCCCAGGATCGAGTCCCGCATCGGGCTCCCCGCTTAGCGGGGAGTCTGCTTCTCCCTCTGACCCTCCCCTCTCTCATGCTCTCTGTCTCATTCTCTCTCTCAAATAAATAAATAAAATCTTTAAAAAAAAGAAATGATCAGGCCCTGATATAAATGACTCACATTATTAAAATGTACAAATTATTGAAGTAGATAGCTTATTGCCAGTTGAATAATATAAAGTAATAAATAACTGATATGTCACTTGGGCTACTCACATTGGTGTGCTCAGCACAGTCATTCCTGTAATCCATTGTGATACATTGAAAAACAACAATCATGTGCTACTTAATACTTGACCATGAGAAGGGGCACCTGGGTGGCTCAGTCGTTAAGCGTCTGCCTTCAGCTCAGGTCATGATCCCAGGGTCCTGGGATTGAGCCCCGCATCAGGCTCCCTGCTTCATGGGAAGCCTGCTTCTCCCTCTCCCACTCCCCTTGCTTGTGTTCCCTCTCTTGCTGTGTCTCTCTCTGTCAAATAAATAAATAAAATCTTTAAAAAAAAAATACTTGACCATGAGAAGTCATAGCAGAGGGGTCAAAACCTTGGAATGCCAAATGATCCTTTCCCTGCAGACAGACTTAAGGGAAATTAAATCATAATCTAAACATTGTTGAGTGATCTCAGAATTAAAATGAAAGAATATGGGGATTAAAAATTCAAAGGGTTTTAGGCATCAGGAAAGTAAAGGAGCCAAATGGGGTGGGTGAGAACTGTGGTCACCTGAGAAATACATATCTCACCCTTAGTTCCAGCTAGTTTTTGCCCTATGTGATAGATACAATTTTTCTGGATTACCAATTTTTCAAATGAGGTTAAAAATCTATATTTTTAAATATGCAACCTTCTGAGTTTTGAATATTGACAATTTTAAAATGTAGTACACTCTGCAATACTTTTTAATTTTTTAATTTTTTTTGAAGATTTTATTTGTTTGACAGCGAGAGACACAGTAAGAGAGGGAACACAAGCAGAAGGCAGAGGGAAAGGGAGAAGCAGAATCCCCACTGAGCAGGGAGCCCGATGTGGGGCTTGATCCCAGGATCTTGGGATCATGACCTGAGCCGAAGGCAGATGCTTAACAACTGAGCCACCCAGGCGCCCCTCTGCAATACTTTTAAAATCAGCAATTCTACTTCTAGGAATTAAACTACATACCTTTGAAATTGCATTCATTTGAATATGCATACCTTTGATATGAGGTAAGTGCTAAATTACCATCTGCAACTTTGTATGAAATAGCAAAATATTTAGAAACAATACACATTTCCATCAGCAGGTGTTGGTTAAACATATTATAGCATACCCAAACAATGGAATACTCTTCAACTATGTTTTTTTAAAAAGGAAGCTCTTTCTGCATTGATACAGAGTGATCTTTAAGAAACATTATTAAGGGGCACCTGGCTGGCTCAGTCAGTTAAGCATCTGCCTTCAGCTCAGGTCATGATCCCAGGGTCCTGGGATCGAGCCCTGCGACGAGCCCTGCAAGGAACCCCGCGTTGGGCTTCCCACTCAGCGGGGAGCCTGCTTCTCCTCTCCCTCTGCCTCTGCTCTGCCTACTTGGGCTCTCTCTCTCTCAAATAAATAAAATCTTAAAAAAAAAAAGAGACATTATTAAATGAGAAGAGCAGCTGTAGAACATGATATATAGCTGCTGTTACTTGTCTAAATAATACATTTTTAAACGTTTTTTCCTCGGGGCACCTGGGTGGCTCAGTCCGTTAAGTGTTGTGATCTCAGGGTCCTGGGATCTGCTCCCAGCTCAGCGGGGAGTCAGCTTGTCTTCCTCTCTCTGCCCTTCCCCTTGCTCGTGCTCTCTCTTTTTCACTCTCTCTCAAATAAATAAATAAAATCTTTAAAAAAACATTTTTTTCTTACATATATATAAAAGATCACTGGAAGGGTACATAAGAGACTCATACTGGGTGTCTGAGAAGAGGGCAAATGGAAAGTGGCAGACAAGAATCTGTAAGGAGTAAGGGTTTTCACAGTACACTGTCTTATAACTTTTGAATTTTGAAACATGAAAATGGATAGTTCGTTCAAAATTATTACATTAAAAATTAAAAGAAAAGGAACATTCCTGGAAAGATACACATTCATACATGTAAAAACAAGCTACCTTAATAGCAGTTACCTCCGGATAGAAGGATTGGGAAACATGACAGCATCTAGGAACTTTCTGCATTTTTACCCTTCAGTAATGTTTTTTTTGTTTTGTTTCGTTTTTGTTTTTTTTTTTTAAAGATTTTATTTACTCATTTGAGACAGAGAGAGAGAGCATGAGCAGGGTGAAGGGCAGAGGGAGAAGCAGACTCCCCGCTGAGCAGGGAGCCCGATGTGGGGCTCTATGCCAGGGCTTGGTGATCATGATCTGAGCTAAGGCAGACGCTTAATCGACTGAGTCACCCAGGCGCGCCAGCGCTTCAGTAATGTTTGAGAAATTTTTTTACTGTGTGCATTTATATTTTTATAATAATAATAATTTTAAAACATTGACTCAAAAAACACATACACACATGGACACACACTTTGTAGATTTCAAACACTGGAAAGTGTCTGGCCAATAAAATTTCCCAGACTGATTGGATCTGTAAGCTGTCAGTTTAAGGTGAGTGAAAGGAATGTTTAAGGACATCAGATTAACAGAAATAATATGAGCAATAAAATCAGAGAGACCCCCCAAACAAAAACAAAAACAAAAACAAAAAACAAAATAGAGAGACCCAAGGTATGTGGATTATAACTCCCTGAATCTACACACCAAGGACTATCTAACCACCGAGACTGAAAATACTCTACTGACCAATGGCTAAGCTGCCCTCTCCCCTGAACAGCATGCACATTGGCCGCATGAGTTTGCCTTGGGTCGCTCTTCCTTTTTTTTCTTCCACAGATAATCCACTTCTTCTGACTGATGCATTTTTTTCTTAGATAGGTTACTGTAGAAAGTCAAACCTGTGGGTGCCTGGGTGGCTCAGTTGGTTAAGCGACTGCCTTTGGCTCAGGTCATGATCCTGGAGTCCAGGGATCGAGTCCCGCATCAGGTTCCCTGCTCAGCAGGGAGTCTGCTTCTCCCTCTGACCCTCCCCCCTCTCATGTGCTCTCTCTCATTCTCTCTCTCAAATAAATAAATAAAATCTTAAAAAAAAAAAAGAGAAAGTCAAACCTGTGACTCTCTAGTGGCTGCATACTGATGCTCTCATTAATCATGTGTTTGCTTGCATTTTATTTTAGGGGGTAGGGGAGAGGTGAGTTCTCCCTATCTGAGTTCCTGGAGGGAATACATGGGAGTCTTCCAGTACAGACATCAATCTTAATCTGCTTTCCTCTGACCCTGACCTGCACCTTGTCCTGAATTTCTTTTTATCAAAACAGTGTACAAATCATCTCTCTCCCTCTCTCTTTCTTTCCTTAGTTTAACCAATATAGCACCAGAACAGAGTTCTGGTGAAGGCAAAATCTGGTACCCCATTGCAAAGCTTTGGTTCCCCTACCTCCATTTTCAAATAACCCTGGGGACTTACTCAGGCCAAAGAGGGGGCAGTCCTGTTTCCAGGAGTCAGAAACAGAGACAATTATCAAGTCTCTGCTAACAATGCATGGATAGGTTTATGTCTCCATACCATTTGGTATTGCTGTTAAAGCCTGGTTCAGCATGGTCCATGAAAATGTGTGTCCTCTGATATGACTGCATGCTGGTCCAAGTCCCTGCACAAGCACAAGTGATGCCCCACACTTAGATTCCAAGGTTATGGCTCTTTTAGTTCACGTCCACATGTTAGGTCACTGTTGCCTGGAACATTTGGCCAGCATGGCTGAGCCTGAGAGCTTTTACAATCACTATCCCTATCACTTGCTGTGCCAGACTCAATCCTCTTCAGCCAAACCTGTGTTGGGCCTTGGTCAGTGGCCTAGCTGCCCTCTTTCCTTCCAGTGAATTCTCTTATGGACTTTCCTGCCAGTTGGCCATAGTCTACTCTACCAAATTTCCCTAACTTAAGACTTTGGAGAGAACAGATTATGATTTCCTTTCCTTTTCTCTTAAATGATCCCTGGGATGATGATGTTAACCACTACCATCATCACTGTGTATTATATATGAGTTTCCCATGATTGCCGTAATGAATTACCACAGACTCATTGGCTTAAAACAACAGAAATTTATTCCCTTACAGTTCTAGAGGCTAGCAATCTAAAATCAAGGTGTTGGCAGGGCTGAGCTCCCTCCAAAGGCTCTGAGGAGAATTTTTCCTTGCTTCCTCCAGCGTCTGGTGGTTCCAGCCAAGGGTCCTTTAGTTTGTGGTTGCATGACTCCAATCTCCGCCTCTGTCTTCACATGGCCTTTTCCTGTCTCTCTGTATCTTCTCTACTGTCTTTTATAAAAGACATTTGTCATTGGACTTAGGGCTCACCCAGATAATCCAGGATGACTTTATCTTGAGATCCTTCTTATATCTGTAAAGATCCGTTTACCAAATAAAGTCACATTCATACGTTTCAAGGGTGAGGACATGGACATATCTTTTGGAGGGCCCCTTTTCAATCTACTAGATGTTATTTTACAAAGGAATTGTGCAGTGAAAAAGATTGAGGGATTCACTAAAGGCAAATGACTCCCCCTCTATCACAGAGCTCTGCCCACTTGAGAATGGCAGCAGATTTTACAAAACCACATACACTGAAAAGGTCCTGTTAGGGGCGCCTGGGTGGATCAGTTGGTTGGGCCTCGGACTCTTGGTTTTGGCTGGGATCATGATCTCAGGGTTATGGAATTGAGCCCCTTGTGGAGCCTGAGCCCAGAGTGGGTCTCTGTGCTCAGCACAAAGTCTGCTTGGGATTCTTTCTCTCTCCCCTTCTGCTCCCCCTCACCCAGCTCTCTCTCAAATAAAGGAGTAAATTAAAAAAAAATTTTTTTTAAAAAAAGGTCCTGTTAGACTCTTATCATAGGACAATTTGTTCCTGCTGGCCTTATATTTGCACAACTAAAGGGATCTCCTAAGACTGCCTCTAAGAGTTCTAGCTTTAGGTGGGCCTCACCGAGCATCATTATATTACATTACATCATACAGTTATGTCCAACTATCTTACCTTAAGGACATTTGATACTGGAGAATTGAAACCCATGGCCTTATTTTAATCAATGAGTTCTACCTGTCTCGGTCCCATTTTGTAACCATTTCCCTGAGTAGGAACAATATAAATGGGCTCGTGTTTTATCCTTTTTATTATTCTCAACTCACCCTCACGTGCCTATTGTGGAATGCAAGAATGAGAAGGCTGACACATAGAGAGGCTAAATAATATAAAGTGTGGGTCATAAGTATCTGTATAGCAGATTTCAAACCTCCTCTGAGGGGGAGTCTATCAGGCTTTCTCATAGTTCAGCTCAGAGATGGTTCTGTGGTTGGGGAGCTGGCCTCATAGGGATTCTTCACCAACTTGGCACAGCGAAAAATCATCACAATTAGGAACAGAAATAGAAGAACAACAAAGGCAATGGCAAAGCCTTTGTCTACGTCAACACCACTGGACAGGCTTGAATCATCCATGGGAACACACGCCTCTTTACCCTTGTTCAGCTGTAGTTACCTCCTCAGGTATGTCTTCAGGTTTGTCATGTTCCTAGACAAAAGAGGATAAGACAAGTTTATTGGGTTTTATGTGTATGCGTGTGTTTTCTTATTTATTTATTTATTTATTCATTCAACAGAGAGAGAGAGACAGCGAGAGAGGAAACACAAGCAGGGGGAGTGGGAGAGGGAGAAGCAGGCTTCCCACTGAGCAGGGAGCCCCATGCGGGGCTCGATCCCAGGACCCTGGGATCATGACCTGAGCCGAAGGCAGACGCTTAACGACTGAGCCACCCAGGTGCCCCTGTATGTGTGTGTTTTCTTAATAGCATTATGTCAAAACCAAAGAAGGTTTAGAAAAACAAAAACAGAACAGCAAGATTTATTCATGAAGCACTATGAAACTGGTAAAGTTAGTATGGGTGACTTTCAAAATATATACACACATAAAGCATAAAATTGCTGGAAAATTACTCCAAAGCAAAACATGAGCAAACATGTTTAACTCAGAAATCAACTGGGGCTTCCTGGCCCTGTAAGATCCAGGTACAACTGCCTTAAACATCCCAATTCTGTGTTAAGTCCAAATCCCTCTCTATGATTTTTTCAAATTCTGAGTACTTATTGTAAATAATTTGTTCTGGAGTCTTAACATAAAGACTATGTAAACATAAAATTATTTTTATTTTTTCTAATCACTACGTTTAACTGTGCTATCATTCCCATCTCTTAATGAAAAATCAAGTATAGCTCAGAAAGGATCGATTTTGGTTATTAAAACTTAGTTCACCAAAACAACACTGAAAAGAACAAAATCAGAGTACTCCCACTTCCCAACTTCAAAACTCACTACAAATTTACAGTTATTAAGACAGTGTGGCACTAGCATAAGGATAGGCATATGGATCAGTGAAATAGAATTAGGAGCCTAGAAATAAACTCATATACCTACTGTCAATTGATTTTTTTAAAAGATTTTATTTATTTATTTGCCAGAGAGAGAGTGCGGGAGAATGAGCGAGAGTACAAGCAGGGGGAGAAGCAGGCTCCTTGCTGAGCAAGCAGCCCTATGTGGGGCTCGATCCCAGAACCCTGGGATCATGACCTGAGCCGAAGGCAGATGCTTAACAGATTGAGCCACCCAGATGCCCTGGCAACCTTGTTTTTTGCCTGCCACTCACTCTCTCCCTTGTACTTTTGGACCCAGTAATGCTGGACTTCTCACAATTCTATGAGTTTTGCATGATCCTCCTTTGTGTCTGAGCCTTTTCATTAACATTCTCTATTTATTATTTCCCATCTTCTATATTCAACTTTTAGGCTTTAGCTTAAAAGTTAATTTCCCAAGGAGATATTCCAGTAACATTCACTATACTTTACTACAATTACTTCAGTCTGTCTTCTCTGGTAATATAGTAATCTGACATGAGAGTAGAGACCGTATCTAATTTGTTCGTTTTTTTATCCTAAAAGTTTGGGTTGTATTGGCTGTTCAATAAATATATGTTCAATGAATGGATGTAGCACTACACTTTGCTAAAGTGGGCATGTAAAAAATGTTTGCTGAATGAATGAATGATTTTGAGAATGTGGCATTTGAATTAAGACAGAAGCCTATTGGTGATCTAAAAGAAAGTAGTGTCAACAAAGTGGCAAAGAAGGACTCCAGACTTTAGTGGATTAAGCAGGAAAGGGCAGTAAGGAAATGAAGACACTAAGGTTTTAAATAATTTATAAGGAGTTCAAGTAGGAAAGAAAGAAGAGAAATCGAATAGCAGTTAAAAGCCTACTACAGAATCTAGCAAAGGATTCCTTTTTTAAAAAACTTTTTAAAAAAGATTTTATTTATTGGGCGCCTGGGTGGCTCAGTCGTTAGGCGTCTGCCTTCGGCTCAGGCCATGGTCCCAGGGTCCTGGGATCGAGCCCCGCATCGGGCTCCCTGCTCCGCGGGAAGCCTGCTTCTCCCTCTCCCACTCCCCCTGCTTGTGTTGCCTCTCTCACTGTGTCTCTCTCTGTCAAATAAATAAAATCTCAAACAAAAAGATTTTATTTATTTATTTGTCAGAGAGACAGAGAGAGCACAAGCAGGGGGAGCTGCAGGCAGAGGGAGAAGCAGGCTCCCCACTGAGCAAGGAGCCCAATGTGGGACTCGATCCCAGGACCCTGGAATCCTGACATGAGCTGAAGGCAGCCGCTTAACCAACTGAGCCACCCAGGCATCCCAAGGATTCCTTCTCAAAGGCAGAATGAAAAGGTATCAGGTAGGATGCATTTGGTTGCAAGTAACAGAAAAGTCCACTTAAGTGATAGTAAACAATATGTGGAATTTATTAACTTAGGAGGCTGAAGTCCAGAATAAGGCTAACTTTAGGTATCATTGGATCCAGAGATTGAAGGTGTTATCAGGGTTCTGACTTTCTATGTCTATGATTTTTCGCAGTCCCACCTGTCTTCTATGCTGATTTTCTACACAGGCCGACTTCCCTATGGTAGCAAGAATGGCTCCAACAAATCCAGACCTCTCATATCCCCTCTTCACAGTCTCTCCTCCCCAATTCCAGAGGAAGAAAGAATACGTTTCTATTCGTCAAGATTCTTGTTTGCAAGCAACAGAAACAATCTCCCTTTTCTTGATGAAAAATTCACCCTAAGTGAAAAGGCAGTCTGGGTTCCTGGGTCTGGCAGGGGTCTGAGCTGAGGAAGGATTCTGCTAATACTGTGTCTGTGAGGCAATGTTGTTTGACCCACCTCCCTGGGGCTCACTGAAACCTGAGTCCCAAGGGAGACAATAAATACTCCTTTATAGTTGCTGTTGTCATTTTATTTTGCATACATACTTGTGTGATTTGGGAAATGGAGATTATAAAGAGCTCTTCCTTTAATATTATTTGAACTCTATCAACTTTAAATTTAATTTGGATGCACCATTTACCATTTAATAAATACAATACAAAAACTAGGTCCTATAGGCATAACACGATACATAAGGTCTGGTTTCTGACTTTAGGAAGCTTATAGTCTGGTATGGGAGATAAGACATAGCCACATAACTATGACATAGGTATAAAGTGGTTAGGTTTCAAAACAGAAAGTAGTGGATCTCTCTGAAATCGTCTGCCCCACACTTCCTCTCCTGTCCATCCATATGGTTACTGTGGAAGCTGCCATATTCTGACATGGCCCCACCATGCTGGCTGCCACAGTTCAATGGTCTGGGGTAGGTAGAAGTTAGGCTAAAGCTCTTCTCTTGAATTTTTGTAACTGGAATAGGACATACTAGGTGTTTAATACGTACTTGATGATAACTGCGTTGTAATGAGAAAACCAATTTCATTGCAATTTTAATACCCGCTTCTGGCTTTATCCATTTCTGTACATCTCAGATGCCACTTTCTGGATATATTTCTTTTTTTTTTTAATGATTTTATTTATTTATTTGTTAGAGAGAGAGAGGGCATAAGCAGGGGGAGCGGCAGGCAGAGGGAAAAGCAGGCTCCCCACTGAGCAGGGAGCCCAATGCAGGACTTGATCCCAGGACCCTGGGATCATGACCTGAGCCGAAGGCAGAGGCTTAAGGCCTGAGCCACCCAGGCACCCCTGGATATATCTCTTTAATATCTCATTATTGATGCCAGCACATATCTTCCCTTTATTCATTACTACACTTTCTCAAAAAGATCTTATTATTTTACCCTGGCACCTACATATCTCACTAGTCCCCTTACAGCCTGAATATTTCATTGATTTTTCAACTTCTTTTAATTATTGCATTTCAAGAGACTTGCATCTTTATTTGATTTTCTTTCATTTATTCTCTTATCACAGGTTTCTAGGTATGATTTTATACCATGTAAACTGTCTTGATTTTATATTAAGTTGCAGAGAAAAATAAACAAAAATATGTACTTCCTGAATGAAAACAAATAATCCCATAGCAATCTGCTGGTAAAAGTGGAGAAGGAACCCAAAGGGAAGACTCAAGGAAGGTTTTACTGAAGAGGCAAATACATGAACTGAACTGCGGCCTGAGAATGAGTGGAGTTTACCAGGCAGATAAAAGCGAGAAAGAGGAGAAGCTGGAGAAGATATTTCAAGTACAAACACAAGGGCTTCAGGGAGGACAATATAGTATGTTTGAGAAACAGTAAGTGTTCAGTAAGTATTGAGAATGTATTCTATCGGAGAACAGGCAGGAGCCATGGCCTAGGCCAGTTCATCAGGGTCCTTATATGGTACATTAAAGACTCTGGACTCAACTTTGCAATCAGTGGGGAGCCATTGGAAAGCTTTTAAACATGGAAATTATACCATTAGATATTTGGTTTAGAAATATCAGACTGGCAGGAATGTGGAGGATGCACGAGACAACAACTAACCTGATATTCTTCCGTAAATATGAGCTTTGAAGGGATTCAGGACAGCTCCCCCCCCGCCCCCCGCAATGTGTCACTCTGGCAAGTGGATCATTCAGAGCTGAAGGCACTTGAGATCCTGTGGGCTCAAGAGAAACTTTTGTCTCTCTCTTAACCACACAGAAAAATCTAAATTGGGGGTCTTTCCCCAAATAAGGGTCATCTGCTCTTCTTACTACCCTCTGAAGTGCATTCCTTTCCTCTGAAATCCCAGACCCCTACCCCCTTCTCTTTAGTTCAGAATGAGATAAATATCTCATCTTGCCTGCCTTTGGAATTTCCATGTCTATGGGGAGTCCCCTACATACATCTATTAAATTTGATTTTGTCCTGTTAATCTGTCTCATGTCAATTTGATTCTTAATCCAGCTAGAAGGACCTTCGAGGGGACAGGATTTCTTGCTCCCCAACAGCTTCTAGAGGGCAAAAATATAAATGTTTTGATTTTTTAAACTTCTCACAGCATAGATTAACATAGTGCTTGCACTGAGTAAGAAATGTTTGTTGATGTGGAAACCAGTGTCAGAAGGAACACTCTGCTTCTCGTGGGTGTAGAGAATGGACAGTATGACCCTTGTCTGATGAACAAACTCAGATGGGGTAGTATTAGTCATAGAAATCTTTCTAAAAGTGATGGCTGAGCTCAATCTGGAATAAAGAAAGAACACTTAAAGGAAGGAAGAGTGATGGAGTCAAAGAAGCATGAGAACTTTTGGGGAAATGCTGCTTAATTCAGTATGGTAGAGCTCACAATGCATGAAAGTGAAAGGTATAAAATCATAGAATCTCATAGTTGGAAGGAACCCTTGAAAGTCATGTTGTGGCATTAGCCTTCTAATCATTCCTGCAAAGTCCCTGCTTTAACTACTTGGGTGAGTTCCTCGGGGGCCTTCAGGGGTCAGAAGTGACTATCTTCCAAGGTGTCTCATTCTTTAAAAGTACTTAGTTTTTCTTTTTTTTTTAATTGAAATATAGTTGACACACAATGTTATTAGTTTTAGGTATACAATGTAGTGATTCAACAATTCTATATGTATGCTATGCTCACCACGATTGTAGCTGCCATCTGTCACCATACAACACTATTATAATACCATTGACTATATTCCCTGTGCTGTTCCTTTCATCCCCATGACTTATTCATTCCATAACTGGAAGCTTGGACCTCCCACTCCCCTTCACCCATTTTGCCCATCCCCTCACCTCCCTTCCCTCTGGCAACCACCAGTTTATTTTTGTATTTATGGGTCTGTTTCTGCTTTTTGTTTGTTTTGTTTTTTAGATCCCATATGTAAGTGAAATCATATGGTATTTGTCTTTCTCTGACTTATCCACTCTGCATAATATCCTCTAAGTCTATCCATATTGTTGCAAATGGCAAGATTTCATTATTCTTCATGGCTGAGTAATATTTGATTATACGTGTGTGTGTGTGTGTGTGTGTGTATACACACATCTTCTTTATCCATCCAACACTTGGGTTGCTTCCATTCTTGGCTATTGTAAATAATGCTACAATAATAAAAGTAGTTCTTCACATTGAGCCAAATTTGTCTCCTTAGCACTCACTGCTCCACTTTTAACTTAGGACCATATAGGATAACACATATCTTTTCCTACACAATATTTTCAGGATGTGAAGATTGCTATCAAGTACTTGTTGACTCATTTCTTCAATCATTTCTCAGAGGATATGATCTTTCTATCATTCTAGTCTTTTTCCATTGAAAAGAATCTAGTGTGTCTACATCCCCTTTAAAACATGGTGCCCAATATAGAAGACCCACGTAAACCCAAGATTATTCATCTAGTACTATACTTCTATTGCTTGAGATAAGATCATAATGAGCCTTGTGCTAAAATTGGAATGATACAGAGAAGATTAGCATGGCCCTTGCACAAAGATGACACACAAATTCATGAATCATTCCATATTTTTAACTAACTGGAATTTAAATTAAAACTTGGAAGAAAAAAATCATAATGAGCTTTGAAATTCAGCATAAAGAATTCAAATTTTAGGGGCACCTGGGTGGCTCAGTCGGTTAAGCGTCTGCCTTCAGCTCAGGTCATGATTCTGGAGTCCCAGGATCGAGTCCCGCATCGGGCTCCCTGCTCAGCGGGGAGTCTGCTTCTCCCTCTGACCCTCACCCCACTCATGCTCTCTCTCTTTCTCATTCGCTCTCTCTCCCTCAAATAAATAAATAAAATCTTAAAAAAAAAAGAATTTGGGGTGCCTGGGTGACTCAGTCAGTTAGGCATCTGCCTTCAGCTCCGGTCATGGTCCCAGGGTCCCGGGATCGAGCCCCATGTCGGGCTCCCTGCTCCGCGGGGGACCTGCTTCTCCCTCTCCCTCTGCCTGCCACTCCCCCTGCTTGTGCTCTCTGTCTGTCAAATAAATAAATAAAATTTTTTTAAAAAAAGGAATTGAGTTTTATTCAAATGGGGGGACATTGAAGGATTTTGAGCAGATAAATGAGAGCAGCGGCCCTATCTTACTGTGCATCCCACTGACTCTAACTGGAATGTAAGCTCTAAGCGTTAGGTCTGTGTCCCATTAGTGACATAGCTTCAGTGCCTAGGCAGGGCTGGCACATTGTAGGTGTTTAGTATACCTACATAAATGAATTAATATCTATATCAGTGCCCGGCATATTAAGCATACACAATTCATGCTTGCTGAAGGAAGGTAAGTAATCAAAGCCATACTTTACGAAGATAACTGGCAACAGTATGTAAGAGATATTGGAGACAGGAAATAGACACCATAGGGTGAAAAACAATTAGAAGGAGTTGCAGCAGTCTTGGTAAGAGGCAACAAAAGTATAAACTAGGATGACATAGTAACAAAAAGGAAGGGATGGATGTGAAAGAGGATTTGACATGATTTATAAATTAAATGGACATATAGTGGGAGGAAGAAGGAAATGATAAAGAAAATCCTGGGGTTTGACTTTGGATGGCTGAAAGAAAAATGTTGCCATTCGTAGAACTATTTATTTTAGGAATTGGCAGATATTTTAAGGGACTATGATGAATCCAGTTTGAGTAGGTTGAATTTGAAGGTACTGGTATGATATGTTCAGGAGGCAGAAACGTGGGACTGAAGTTTAGGGTAAAGAAAAGCAAGATCTTTAGAGCTGAGTCACCTAAGTTCAGGGTAGTTGAAATCATGGAAATATATGAGATGGCCAAAGGAGAATTTGAAACAAGGGAATGCCTGCTTTTATGTCGGAGGAAAGAGTTCAATAAACCACAGATGGAATAGGTATAAGTAGGAAAACCTGAAGAGTGTAGAGTCATGAAAATGAACAGATGAGAGAATTTCAAGGAGGGGTATTGCCAACAGCCTCAAATGCTGCAGAGATACGAAAACCTTCAGTATCTGGAAATTGGAAAACATCAAGTCATCTGTGATTCTCCTTCTCCTTATCTAATTAAATCTGAATTCCTGAACTTTGAATGAAAGGTCTCTCGTTTACTGATTTAACTTCTCACTCATAGCTGCCAAATTCCGATAAGCTAATTTTGCTACTGTTAGGCTGGTATCTTTCCTCTTTCCACCTCAAAAAGTAAAATACATCCTTACTGAAAAAGGGAAAGAAAAGAAGAAGACTGATGTTTTGGTTCCAAGTATGTCATGTTATTTATGTTCTTGGCTCTTATTTTCATATGCAGGGATCAGATCTAGGTTTTATAGATCCTGAAAGTTTACACAAGTTGGAGGTCTCTCTTTCAGAAAAAGAATGCAAGATTTTGAATACAAAATTAGGTAAAAAGTTTTTTAGAATGGAAAAAAAAAATCACAAATTATTGGAGCCTTGGATATTCAGTTTCCTTTCTTCTAAGACCTCTTAGGCAAAATCACTTTTCTTGACAGATTCAAGTGACAGATACCATGGTAATTCTAAAATCTGTTTTCCAAAACGAAGACCTCCCCTAGAATTTTTTTAGTGGTTCTTAAGATTCCTGTTTTGGGGACGCCTGGGTGGCTCAGTTGGTTAGGCGTTTGCCTTCAGCTCAGGTCATGATCCCAGGGTTCTGGGATGGAGCCCTGCGTTGGGCTCCTTGCTCAGCAGGGAGCCTGCTTCTCCCTCTGCCTGCCGCCCTCCCCTCCCCCCTCCTTATGCTCTCTCTCTTTCTGACAAATACATAAATAAAATCTTTAAAAAAGGTTCTTGTTTTGTTTGAGATGAACAGGAGTACTGCTTAGGACTAGAATAGGGAAAAAGAGGTGGGGCATGAATCTACTGGTTTATGTAAAATGTGATACTGCTAAAGTGGGAAACAGAATAACAGCATTTATAAATCTGCAGCAGAAGTTAGTTCGCTTTCACTTAACACTTCCCAGAAAGATCAATCCCCTCTTCCTTTCCCGTGTTCCCTTCCCAAATCACTTCATTTTTCCCATCTGTGGCCCTATATTTCTTAAAGACAAATAGACAAAAAACAAAACAGGACAACAACAAAAACCACTTAAAAAGGCCCAGCTCTTGGGCGCCTGGGTGGCTCAGTTGGTTAAGCGACTGCCTTCGGCTCAGGTCATGATCCTGGAGTCCCGGGATCGAGTCCCGCATCGGGCTCCCTGCTCGGCAGGGAGTCTGCTTCTCCCTCTGACCCTCCTCACTCTCATGCTCCCTGTCTCTCATTCTCTCTGTCTCAAATAAATAAATAAGATCTTTAAAAAAAAAAAAAAAAGGCCCAGCTCTTCTCTCCTGGCCATAAGTTTACTCTAAAGGGAGAGGTGATGGTGAGGAAATAGAAAAATGAAACTCTCTTCCTATAATCCCTAAAATCAAAGACATCCTCTAGGCAATGGGACCAACAGAGGTTTCCCTGGTTTGCCTCAAAACAACACTGTGCCCCTTACTTAAAGTTTCACTTTTCCAGAAAAGCTCTAAGGAAAGAAAAATTCTTTACTTCCCTCAGTCATTTCCCTAAGTACTTCCCAAGCTTGTAGAGAAGTGCTATGAAACTCAGAAGAATTGTTGGAATTATTCCCATAAAAACTTTACCAGAAAGACAATACGGACAGTTATTTACCTTTTGAGAGAGTGATACCCAAGGCTGGCTGTTGGCAGGGCAGTCTCCTCCTGCTCAAGCACATCTCTTGGCAACCTCTCCCCTTTTTATCAACCCACGCTTACAAAAAGGAAAGTGGTGGTAGCTCTGTCCCTTCCCCACTCCTAGGCTGAACTCAGAAGCTTCATGAATAGTTCAACTAAAACAGGATCAAGTTTCAGACACTCCCATAGTGAGTGAGAAAATGATCCCGCTAGATTAAATTGGAGCCCAGGTCAGGAGAAGAATATTTCCACAGCTCTGCCAATGCTGGGGCAGCCAAGGTTAATAGCTCAAGTAATACCATGTAAGTGGATCACATGAGTGGTAGAAGATGGGTCAGGAGCCAGCTTTTTGGTCTATGCAATGGTTCTCTGGATTAGTGGCATCATATGGAAAATTGTTAGAAATGCTAATTCTTGGACCTGTAACCCTGCCTTAATGAATCTGAAGCTTTGGAGGTGTCCTTATCTGTGCTTTAACCAGCCCCTCTAGGGGACTGTGATGTATGCTCAAATTTGAGAACTGTTTGTCAACAAGATCAGTGAGGTTCTAAAATCTCTTTTC